TGCCCACTGACTACATTATATTCAGGGGAAGTCTCCTCAGATGTCTTTAAAACCATGAAGTAAAAATAGAGGAGGAACCAAAAAAAAAAAAAAGAAAAACAAAGAGGAACTGCGAAATTCAGTCCCCAGTGACAAGCAGTGAGCGGAGGAAGTAAAGGGGGGAGTTGTAGAAGAGGCGGTGTCAACAGCCTGTTGATGAAAGAGGCAACTTTGCAGAAAGAGGCAACCTGACACATCAGGACTTTTACAGCTGTAGAAACAGCTCAGGCATACAAAGCCCATGCAAACACAGAATTGCAGAAGTTCAGCAGAGGCTTATCACTTCCCTGAGAAGAAAAGCACATTTTCAGTTTTGTGTGCCTAATAAGAGTGAGCGCTCAATTGCTTTCCTTGCTGGCCACACTGCTAAAATCCGGTATTAACCGTATGTACTAGGTTAAGGATCGAGATCAGGCAGCCCCTTCTGCCCGTGAAGAAGCTAAGTCTTTACAGCATAAACTAGAGGAAGCAATTTCTGAACAATGGAATCGCCAGACTATAAATACTGAGATATGGGACACACGCCAGATGTTTGAGCAGAAGACAAGCAAACTGAAAAGTGAGTAGCAAATACTCGTTTATATCCTGATTCGATCTACCCTGAGGTGGGGCAAAAGAACTACAGCCATTTTTCTAAATGACAACTGCTGTATTATTACTAGATTTAGGGCAGTGACATGGTTCTAGAACGCAGGATGATGAGCTTTCAGAGAGTTTTGCCTACTGGCTAGGTAGATTAAGGTAACCATTAACTTTTCTTTTGGGTGGTTTATTATGAGCTGGATTTGTCCATGGCTGTTATTTCTTCAAAAATTAACTAATACTTCTCAATTGCTCTAAAGGGAACAAGGAGGGAATCTTATGCAAAACGGGTGTTTGAACGTGCAGATGATTTATAGATTCCACTCTGATTTTATTAGCTAGTCTGCACCCTTGCTGTGGCTGAGAAGGCCTGGCCGGTTTTGTTGCTTTCAAGTAGTAGCTTTAGGAGATTGAACAAGGTAATTACTCATTCCATGTGTATCAAAATATTATACGTGTATTAAAATGCTTTTTGAATTTTAATGCATCCTTTAGATATATTTTGTGCTTTTAAAATGTGGACTATTAATCATTTTTTATGTATTGCCTTAAAGTACATAATAAGCATTTACTAAGGATTTATGCAAGAAGACAATTGTCAAATGCAGGTATCAGATTATTTATAAACCTGTTTTATTCCAGAAACATAGTATGGTAAAAATAAAACTCATTTTATTTATTGTGGCCATTTATCGGATGACGGCTTTGTTCAGCCCACTTCATGCTCTAGCAATGTAAATGTTCTTTTTGTAGAAAATTATTGGTTTGGGTAATATAGACAAATAATTATAAGCTCAAGGTAAGCCAGAGATGAAAACTTTTCGACTTGTGCTTGGTTTGGCTTTATCATACCCTTTCTAATATCATCTGAGAATGGTCCTTAAGTGTTTAAGAAATTGTCTAGTTCTAAAATAGCAACTTTGATCTTACAACGTTTAAAAGTTTAAAAATTGGTATTTTAAACTTTGTAGAACTTATCAGTTTTCTGTAACTCTTAGAATCAGTTTATTTTTATTAACTGTCCGACAACATAAGGCATACTTTAAATTACATAAGCTATATGCTATTTTATTATTGCTCAAAATGCGTTGGAGAAGGTTCTTTTGTGATTAGAACTGTTCATGTTGAGACATGAATAATAAGGCAATATTGCAGGCACTCCAAATTTGGTTTAAGGTGTGTCAGCGTTGGAGCGTGCTTAGAGGACTAATTTTTTGGTCTAATCATTTTTATCATTCAATTACATGAATATTATACCCCTATAGTTTTATAAACCTCTAGAACGTTATCTCCTCCCCACCCCCTATGATCTCCTTGTACTACTTTCTTAGAAGAGCCAACTTTTATAACTTATCCCGAAGGGTACATTCTTGATATTATGATTTTGCTTTTATCTTCCCAGTTTATCCTCAGAGGATAATTGGTTGCAATATTATTAAAGCAGAATATGAAAGTTCTCCTGGGTTGAATGCATGTATTTGGTTTCTGTTTTTTTTTCCCTGCCTGGAGAAATTAGAGTGGCCACTTCCTTTCTGTCTTGAGTTGCTCACAACGTGCATGGCTTTATGAACGCCGGTCCTTAGTTGTATCTTCTGCAAAAAGAAGTCATAAACGACAGGATTTTGTTCTTAAGACCATGCGTTTATGAAATCACTCTAATAATGCTCTTGAAAATCATCCTTTGGGACATGAAGGAAACTTAGGTAGCATGTATTTTCAAAATATTCTATATAGTGAATCTTCCAGATAGACAACAAATAAATATCAATGAGGAAGGAGAGTTATCGCACAAATACATGCACGAACATTCCACCGCAACTACTGCCAGTCCATGCTGTTTGAATTCGGAGTCAGACATTTGAATTCTGGGTCACAAAGCAAAAATACTTAAATCCGTTTAGCACTTTTGAAATTCTGGTAGCTTAATAAATTCATTGTTTAAGGCCTTTCTGATGTATCTAAGACATGTTCATCAACCAATTGTGTGGGAACACAGTTGTTCCGTCCAAATGTTCAGGTCAATGACAGTGTTCACAAACTGGAATTAGGAAGTTGTTTATGACATTTCGTTATAAATGCTGAGCTTAAGTTTGAATAAATAATACTGTTCAAGTTTTTAATTGCCGTCCGGACCGGGATGATTTATGAGGTAATTAGTGTACATGCCTGCTTCCATAATATTTGTTATCAGAACTGTTAAATTTCTTGAATGGTTACTTATGTATTTTTTTTCTTCTGCTTCTTAACTTTATTTTACCTAATTATCTTGGTAACATAGATAATACTGGATGTATAAATACATGTTTGGGTAGAAAAAGGTTCTTAGATCTAGGATACACGTACAACAAATTAGAGTGAATCTTATGTATAGGAAACATAGACTAACTGATCTAACCCAAACTATCACCCCCTTAGTATTCACCATCTTTGCCCCTATCTGACATGAAGTCTTCACTGAATCACTCATTTAATAGACAGTGGAGGAGTTTCTTTTAAAAACCAAAAATATTTCCTTGGAGTAGAGATCCTGAAAAGCCCCTGTATATACCTATATCATAATCCCTTATTTGAACATATTATGCTGTGAACTTCATATAAACTTCACATGAATTTCATAGTTTAAAGAAGAATTTATCTAGATGATCTCACTAGAAACTCCCTTCTAGCTTGCTGTCCTTAGTATGGATGGCATAAGATATGCAACAGGTAACAGTTTTAAGGCTTTCAGAATGGATGGATGCGAGATGACAGATGCATGTCCTGAGCAGTCAGTAAGCAAGAGGGAAATGAGCCAAGGAAGGCGGGATCCAGGGGATTCAGACACTTAAAGATGGAAGGTGGAGTGCAGGCCAAAGAGAAAACCTGGCCGAATAATACAGCTTGCTCAACAGCTTTGATGGCATGGGGAACTAAGTTTACTCGAGTGAAAAATACAGGTATGGATAAAATAAAGTAGGTGTGTCTTAGTTATCTAGTGCTGCTAGAACAGAAATAGCACAAGTGGAAGGCTTTAACAAAGAGAAATTTATTCTCTCACAGTCTAGGAGGCTAGAAGTCCGAATTCATGGCGCCAGCTCCAGGGGAAGGCTTTCTTTCTCTGTCGGCTCTGGGGCAAGGTCCTTGACATCAGTCTTTCGTGGTTGAAGAGCTTCTCTGCGCAGGAACCCCAGATCCAAAGGGCACACTATTCTCCTGGCTCTTGTTTCTTGGTGATATGAAGTCCTCATGTCTCTCTGCTCACTTCTCACTTTTATATCTCAAAAGAGATTGATCTAAAACACAGTCTAATCTTGTAGATTGAGTAGTGACTCATTAACATAACTGCCTCTAATCCTGCCTCATTAACATCATAGAGGTGGGATTTACAACACAGGAAAATCACATCAGATGACAAAATGGTAGACAATCACACAACACTGGGAATCATGAACTAGCCAAACCTACACAGACTTTTTTGGGGGAATACAATTCAATCCATAACAATGTAGTTTAATATAATGATTACGAGCATGAGATTTGAAGTTTAAATCTATGTTCTGATTTTAAGTCTACTAAAGAGTAGCTGGAAACCCTGGTGGAGTAGTCGTTAAGAGCTACGGCTGCTAAGCGAAAGGTCTGCACTTTGAATCCACCAGGTGCTCCTTGGAAACCCTATGGGGCAGTTCTACTCTGTCCTATAAGGTTGCTATGAGTTGGAATTGATTCGATGGCAACGAGTTTGGGTTTTTTTGGTTTAAAGAGTAGCTGGGTGAAGTTGGGCAAATCATTTTACCTCTCTGAGCCTCAGTATCCTCTTCCATAAAATGGAGTTGTGAATTATAAATAAGTGCAAAATAGTGGTTAGTGCTTGGCCATAGTAGGCACAGTCTATTCTGCTAGAGCATGTTTCTATAACATGAATTACCTCATTTACAATTGGTAAGGGAATGAGGTCAGTATAATATGGATGTTGCATTGGTTCAGTCATGACTTCCCTGGGAAATGGGACCTGGATTAGTTGGAATAGACTGAAAACGTTCAGCAGGAAAGGAAAACGCCCTCAGCTTTAAGAAAATTAAAAACAAGGGTCATCACCTGGGCGCCCTCCCTAGTGAAGTGCAACTCCAGCTTTGCAGAGTGCACTACCTCCTGTGTCCACCTTAAGAGCAGCCCCTCTGCCTCAGAGTTCCACTTCCATCTGCATTTTCTCAGCACCGCCATCAGCTCTGTTCCATTCTCACTCTGTTATTTTTGTGTATTTTTAATATTCCTTGAGGCAGCCTTTAGCCCTTTTGAGCTCCGTGTCTGGACAGCCCAAGTTTTCTTCCTAGGTACCAATAATTTAATAATTGTTTTTGTTAGCATTCTGGTTACAATGTAGCATGTATATATACTTTGGTGATGTTGCCTAATTCTATTTATCCCATAAACCCTGTTATTATTATTATTTTTTTTGGCTGTAATCTTTTAATTATTTTTCATTGAGGTATAATTAAATACCATAGAATGCTCAGATTTTAAGTGTACACGTCAACCAGTTTGACTAATGCATATATCAAAACACAAAACTGTCACCTCAGAAAGTTCGCTTTTGCCACTTCCCCATCTGTTCTCCAAACTCCGCTATCACAAGGAGCAACCGCTGATCTGATTTTTATCACTGGTAGGTTAATTTTGCCTAATCTAAAATTGAATTATACAGCATGTACTTTTTTTGTGTCTGTCTGCTTTCCCTCAGCATGATGTTTTTGAGATTCACCTGTGCCATGTTTATCTGTTGTATATCCCTTTTACTGTTGAGTAGTATTCTTTTATATGAATATCCCACCGTTTGATTATCTTTTCTCCTATTGTGGCTATCTAAATTATTTACATTTTGGGGGTTATAATGGATAAAGCTTCCTTGAACATTCATGTATGGGTCATTACGTGGACATATGTTTCTGTTTCACTTGGATAAATATCTAGGAGTGGAACTGTTGGGTCATAGTATAGTTGCAGCCTCTAACATTTTAAGAAACTGCCAGTTTCCAAAGTGTTTGCAGCATTTCACACTCCCACCAGCAATGGGTGAGAATTCTAATGGCCTCACATTTTCTTCAGTATTTGGTGGTGTCAATCTTTTTCATTTTAGCCATTCTAGTGGGTATGTAGTGGCGTCTCATGGTGGTTTTAGTTTTCATTTTTCTGATGACTAATGATATTGAAGGAGCCTTGGTGACACCATGGTTAAGCACTCAGCTGCTAACTGAAAGGTTGACAGTTCAAACTCACCCCATGGCTCCACATGAGAAAAGACCTGACAGTCTACTCCCATAAAGATTATAATCTAGGAAACCCTATGGGACAGTTCTACTCTGTCCTATAGGGTCGTTAAGAGTCAGAATTGACTTAATGGCACACGACAACAACCATAATGCTGAGCACTTTTTCATGTGCTGATGGATCATCTTATATCTTCTTTATGAAGTGTCTGTTTAAGTCCTTTGCTCAGTTTAAAATTAGGCTGTCTTTATTATTGAGCTGCAGGACTTCTTCACATCCTTTGGATACAAGGTCGTTGTTAGATATAAGGGTTGTGAATATTTTCTCCTAGTCTGTGGTTTGCCAGTTCATGCTGTTGCTGGTGTTTTTTTTTTGTTTTGTTTTGTTTTGATGAACCCTAATATTTTAATGCACAGTAGAACATAAGGTTTTTTAAGGAACGTACATATTGTGTTAGAACATGAAGTCCTTACCCTAGACATAACAGCTAACATTGATAGCTAACCTTTTCCCAGCTCTAATAATATTATGGTTCTGATTATTAACAGCCAATTAATTCCAGGGCCTTTGCCTGAAAGCCTCACTGCATAGTCATTTAGAAAGTTGCTTTATCTCAGCTTTCTTTCAGAGGCAATGTATCCAAGACACCTGTTTCATCCTACATCATAGATGGTAACAGCAGGGGATACAGTGGCCATTGTATTATTTGCTTCCATATGAAGCCTAAATGTCCTAGAGACATTGCAGATTCAACTCCAAATACATAAAGAAGGATCCAAAGGTGAATGCAAATTAGGGTCATATTCTAGCTTGTTTTGCCTTATGAGACATATGGAAATAGTTGCTACACATCACACAAAACATTTGTTGAAATAAGGTTTATAATTTGAATGCTTCAGGATGAACTATTTCCAAAACTCCAGATTGCCTGGTGGGAAGCAGATGAGTAATTTAGGTAGTCTAATTATTTCTTCTGAAACACAAGCTTAGTTTGGTAATTCAAAGGCAGCCTTTTAGAGATACACAACCTGTAGAAACATAAC